GATCTTTTCATTGAGTTGTGTTCTCTTCATAGCCCGTGCATTTATGGCCATGCACGTTACCCTGGTTTAGTGAACGCTCTAGCAACTTTGTGCCTCCAAAGTTCCATAGGGAGCGGCCCCACTCCCACATTCACATAGGTGAGTCTATCAAGAGTACCCCCAAAGTAAAGTACTCCACGCCACATAGGGTATAGACCTCATTAAGAGTTATTAACTCATCCTCCATTGCTTTGGGATTCATGCTTCACTATGCATGAACTTTTCGCATACTACTCATGACTTGTTATTACCCATTGAACCCATTTCTTGGGATCTCCAGTCTATTAGGTCGGGTTACCATCACTTGTAGTCCGTGGTTCGGTAGGCATAAGTCCCATACCCTTGGCGGTATTCTGGACTTTCTCTCTAGGTAATCCTTTCGTCAAAGGATCAGCTAGATTCTGTTCGGATCTTATATGATCCACCCTCACTGCTCCTATCGTTAGGAGTTCTCTTACAGTACTGTGCTTACGACGAATCTGTCGTTTCTTTCCGTTATAGAACCGGTTCTCAACTTTAGCGATAGCTGCGGTACTATCACAATGGATCAATACCGGAGGGACCGGTCTTTCCCATAGGGGAATCTCTGACAACAATCCTCTCAACCAACTTGCTTCTTCACTAGCCGTTGCTAGTGCTATCATCTCTGATTCCATAGTTGATTGAGCTATGATTGTTTGTTTCTTTGACTTCCAAGACACAGCTCCACCAGCGATGTTAAAAACATACCCGCTGGTTGCCTTGGAGTCATCTGATAGGGTATTCCAATCCGCATCACTATACCCTTCTAGTACAGCAGGAAACCTTTGATAATGTATACCAAGGTTTGCTGTTCTCTTGAGGTATCTCATGACCCTCTCTATAGCATTCCAATGCTCTCTACTAGGACAGCTGTTAAACCTGCCAAGCAATCCCACGACATATGCAATGTCTGGTCGAGTGTAATCCGCAGCATAACGGAGACTGCCAATGATGCTAGCATATTCTGATTGTCTTACACTGTCTCCAGTGTTCTTAAATAGCTTTACACTAGCATCATACGGAGTACACGCAGGTTCACAGTCGAAATAGTTATATTTCTTCAAGATCTTCTCTATGTAGCTAGATTGATCTAGAGAATAACCATTTGCTGTTCTAGTTATCTGGATTCCAAGCATAAACTTTGCTTCTCCCAGATCTTTCACTTCAAAGCTCTCTTTTAACATGGCTTTTGCTTCATTGACCACGTGAATATTTGTACCAAATATCAACATGTCATCTACATACAAACATATGATAGTACAAGTGTTATTTTCTGACTTGCAGTAAATACACTTGTCACTTTCATTCACCTTAAAGCCATGTGAGAGAACGAGAGTGTCAAACTTCTCATGCCACTGTTTTGGAGCCTGTTTCAAACCATATAATGATTTGTCTAACTTACAGACTTTCGAGGCATGTTCGGGGATAACAAACCCTTCTGGTTGTTCCATATAGATTTCTTCATCTAGATCACCGTTCAAAAAAGCGGTCTTAACATCCATTTGGTGTACCACGAGATTGTTCAAGGCAGCAAGAGCAATCATTACACGAATGGATGTTATTCTAGATAGTGGTGAATAGGTATCGAAGAAATCTATATTCTCTCTCTGCCTGTAGCCCTTAACTACTAGGCGAGCTCTGAACCTTTCGATTGCACCATCAGGTTTCCGTTTCGTTTTTAGAACCCATTTATTACCTAAGACTTTGCAGCCAGGAGGTAAGTCTGTTAGATGCCAAGTCTTATTAGCTTCTAACGATTCCATTTCATCTATAACGGCCTCATTCCAAAAATCTGCATCTACGGAAGTTAATGCTTCCTGCAAACTTTTTGGATCTTCGAGGGTGAATACTGTAGTAAAGTCATCACCAAAATCTTTAGAGATTCTAGCTCTTTTACTTCTTCTGAGTTCATCCTCAGAACCAACACCCCCACTAGTTCCGTTATCTCTAATAGTAGGTAGTACATTACCCCCACTATTTCTTGTTTTAAATGGAAATCGTGTCTCAAAGAAATCAGCATCAATGGATTCTATTATAGTACGAGCATTCAAATCATAGAATCTATATGCCTTACTATTGGCCGCATAGCCAACGAAGACACATTCATATGCTCGACTAGCCAATTTAATCCTCTTAGGATCCGGAATTCTTACGTAGGCCAAACAGCCCCACGTTCTTAAATAGGACAGATTAGGTGGCTTATTCTTCAAGATCTCATAGGGTGATTCTTTTCTATTTGTTTTTGGAAGACGGTTTAGCACATAGCAAACTGTCAACAAAATATCACCCCACCAAGAAGAAGCAGCTCCAGAATTGAGCATAATAGCCACGACTAATTCTGTAAACGTCCTATTTTTCCGCTCAGCTTTACCATTCATTTCTGGTGAATATGGTGCCGTGGTTTCATGAATGATACCATGTGAGCTATAGAATTCCTTGAAGGGATTAGAGTCATACTCTGATCCTCTATCACTCCTAAGTCTTTTTATCTTTCGATTGCACTGATTTTCAAATTCAACCACAAATACCCTGAACATATCAAGGGCTTCACTTTTGTTTTTCATCAAATAAACAAAGCAATAATCAGAGCAATCATCTATGAAAGTGATAAAGTATCTCTTGCCAGACCTAGTTAACGTCCCATCTAGTTCACAAATATCAGAATGAATAAGATCTAAGGGTTCTGATTCTCTACTCATAGATTTATGGGGCGTTTTCGTTATTTTAGCTTGGCTACAGAAATCACATTTATCAAATTCATTCATTGAGAGTTTAGGGATATGCCCTAGCTTGCTTAAATTCTTCACAATTCGTGTGTTCACATGACAAAGACGAGCATGCCAAACATTCAAATCACACACCATGTAAACTGAAGAATTCATCTTATTAATTTCGACATTCAACTTGAACATCCCATTACATGCATATCCCTTTCCCACAAAACTCCCATTCTTAGTAAGGGTATACAAGTCTGCCCCAATAGTTTGATTAAACCCAGCCTTATTAAGAAGATATCCCGAAACAAGATTCTTCCTTATCTCTGGAGTGTGCAACACATCCTTGAGCACCATCTTCTTCCCAGAGGTGAAGTTCAGCTCCAATTCACCAGAACCAGCAACCATAGTAGTGTGGGTAGTCCCCAACAATACTTTCTTGTCAGCAGGTGCTTCTGTGTATGTTTTGAACATAGCACGATTGTTGCATACATGCTTCGATGCACCTGTATCCAGCCACCATCCTTCTGAGTCACCGGTGAGGTTAACTTCAGCGATCATATCTGTGATCATGGCTATCAAATCCTCTTCTGTCAAGTTAACCCTGGCCGCAGCGGCAGGGTTTTGCTTGTTCCGGCACTTCTTTGCCATATGACCCGGTTTTCCACAGTTATAGCAGATAAACGGTGGGTCATTCTTAGAGGTTTGGGCCATGACCCTTTGGTTACCTCGAGAGGCACCATTCTGGTGGGGGCGGACCTGCTGGTTCTTACTCTTAAACCCTTTCTGGTTAGGTTTAAGAGCTCTAGGGGTGGGTCGTTTAGCAGTGACGACCATCACCTCTTCTTTCATATCCTGCTTGCGGGACTCTTCCTCAATCCTTAGGCGAGTAATCAAGCTTTCCAGTGAAAATTCTTTGGTTTTGTGCCTAAGCATATTCTTAAAATCTTTCCACGAAGGGGGCAGCTTATCAATAATGCAAGCAACTTGAAATTGATCGTCCAGAGGCATACCTTCAGAGACGATCTCATGAGCTATTTTCTGAAGTTCGTGGGACTGAACTTCGACGGACTTGTCATCCACCATCTGGTAGCGCAGGTAGCGGCTGACAGCATACTTCTTAGCTCCACCCTCCTCCGTGTCGTACTTCTTTTGAAGCGCATCCCAGATCATCATCGCGGTGTTCTTACTGTCCGCATAGTAGTCGTACAGATCGTCTGCCAGGCCGTTGAGGATGTAGTTCTTGCACAGGAAGTCATGCTCCCTTTCCCTGGCAGAAGCAGCCCTCTCCTCATCGGTCGCTTCTTCCGGCAGCTCGACAGGCATGCTGGTGAGGCAGTGGGCCAGCTTCTTGGTTGTCAGGTAGAACTCCATCTTTTGCCTCCAGCGACGGAAGTTGACCCCAACGAAGCGAAAGGGTCGATTGATATCGACAGCACCAGATCCGGCCATGTTGTTCTGTTCAGTCGACATAGCAGCAGCCGAACGTCTTAAAATTGTTAGGAACGGAACAACAAAAGGAACGAGGTTACCGAATCTGGAGCTGAGTCGCGGACTAGGTCGCTTTCTTTAAGACGTTCGCGGCACTGCCTTCGATGCGCACGGCAGACTATCAACCGGTCGTCTCCAGGATAAAACAGCTCCTCTCAATACTCGCGGTTTTGTGCGAAAACCGAAGCTCTCTAAACACTCTCTCTATTATGTTTCTGCTCGTTATGATGTGTTTAGAGGGGCTGGGGAGGCGGCTATTTATAGGAGCTGAACCCCTAGGAATATACCCTCTTGCTTGGGGAATAAGTCGGATTAATTAAGGAAGATAATTACTTCCTTAATTAAAACCGTCGGTTAAGATAAACCCGGAGGGATTAATCCCTCGAATATTCCGTTTTAGTCGATTATCCTTAGGAATATACCTCAGAATAACAGATTAATAATTAATTATTAAATAATTAATTTCGTTCGGAATTTCTCCAAAAATATATATATAGTCTCAAGTGAACCAACCGACCGACCGACCGGCGCGCATGCGCGCGTGTGTGGTGGTCCATTAGGTCCTCCCTCTCCCACAAAAGTGGGTCACCCCAAGGGGCATGCCCTTGGGAGAGAGACTCTTATCTTTATACACATTTCACCAAGTAAAACTACCAATGTGGTAGTTTTTCCACTAGAGACTCTATAGCTTTCAAAGCTATTCATATACATTCATATACATTTCCAACACAAACCCCCTCCGACTGAGCGTTGGCGGTGGCGAGCGGGTTATAAGCGGTCGTTGCAGATCCACCACTGATTTCTTCGTCGATGCTTTCTGGATACAACAGAGAGAGGTGATTCTCCCCGTCATCAGGATTCAAAGATGTCGGTGGTGGAGAATTCCAGGAACTCGACGATGCCCTCATCAGATCCCAGCTCTGATAAATCAGGCCGACAAAGAGGAGTCGTTCTCCCCCTCGGTAGGGATTCGACGGCGACGGCGACGGCGGAGCCCAGGAACAACGCCATCAACAAAACTAAGGGTTTGCTGCTCGAAATTCAATCAGAACGCCTACTTTCAATTGAAGCACCAAAGGTCGGAGATTTGCTGCACGAAATTGGAGAAGTTGAGAGATTTGGCCGCAACTTCCCCTTCGGAACACTTCACTATCCATTCGGATCCGGAGCGTTTTGCTGCTTCTTTCGTCGCCATCTCATCCCCTTTCAAGCCTCGATCTAGCGGTGTCGGTTGCATTCATGCTTTCGAGTTGCTACACAGAGAGGGTGGGATTTGGGGAAGAGGATTTGCCGGAGTGGGGAGGATAATCGCCGAATCTATCAGAAACGAAAAGAGGATTCGTGGGGGAGAGGAAATTTGGGGAAGAAACCTAATTTCGAAATCGGCCAAAAGTTGCGGAAGAAGAGTCGTCAGTCTCGTGACCCGTGGGAAATATAAGACTATTTTTTTATTTGTGTAAATAATAAATAATTTAAATATTTGACGTGTCACTATTTGCTTATTTGGCGCTGACATGTCCGTTGAGTTGGTCATTCCTCTTTTTACTTCCCATTTGTTGCCACTATATATAGTGCATTATCACCTGATTTAGATCTTGAAATATATTAAGTCGTTTGGATTGAGTATTTGGGGGTGTTATTTGAGGTCAAATAACACAAAATTTGTTATTTAACCCCAAATAACATGTTTGGCTGACAAAAAGTGGGATGTGTTATTTGGATGTAGTGTTTTGCCAAATAACAGGTTTGAGACCAAATAACACAAAAAGTGTTGTTTGCCAAATACTTGGGAGGGGGCAGGTATTTCCCAAATAACAAGTTTGAGACCAAATATCACATACCAAATAACAAGTTTTATATTATGTAGTATTTGTGTGGTAATTGGCCCCAAACAACAAGTTTATCAAATACTCAATCCAAACGACCCCTAAAGGTATCATACATGATACATGAACCAATAGCTAAACGAAATCTTGATTATCAATATGCAAAAAAAACATTAAAAAAAAAGGATGCACACCTCTATACCCTAGTAGGCTATATGCTACAAAGTTTTCCTCACGATATACGTGAATAATGGGATCGTCACACTTAAAAAAATAATGAACATCAATAGAGCTCATGTAATAACCAAGATTTTAAGTGCATAATCAGTCCTATGAATCGGCTGAATGCTAGTTCTACCTTGGGAACTAAAATCTCATTCCACCACCACCAAACCAAGTTAACGGGTCGTTTGGATGCAGTATTTTGATGAGGTAATTGGTCGAAATAATTCAGAATGAGGTATTTCAATCAAAATAACTCGTTTGGCAAAAATAAAGTAGAATGTGGTATTTTGTCCATGAGTCAATTGAAATAACTCATTGTGAGTTATTTGAAATACCTACCCACCCCCTAGTTATTTCAAATACCTCATCTCCCAACTTCTTTTTCCACTTCATCCCTTCTTTAAGTGTTGAAATACCACAATATTTGAATGTTTTATCCAAACAAGACAATTACACCAATTACCACATTTCAAAATGAAATACCACATGAAATGCCACATAGCAAAATAATGCATCATTTGGATTCGAAATACCATAGAACCAAAATGATGCATCCAAACGACCCGTAATATAATTTGTACTATGTGTGAGAAAGTAGCTACTCCTTTGACATTTCTCTCTTCTTTCTTCCATTATTTAGATTAGGGGTGGGCATTCGGTCGGTTCGGTTTCGACCGAACCGAAATTATGAATACCGGGTCCCCGAATTCTCTCAAACCTCAAACCGAATTCGAACCGAAATATAATTCGGTTCGGTCGGTTTAAACCGAATTTGTGAAGCTACTTGTATTTTATCACTTTTAAATTATTTTTCACCCCTAATATAAACAATAAATATCAATTATATGCATCATCAATGATAAAATCAAACTTTTCAACACATAAGTCATAAAACATTTCAAATATTTAAGTCTAAAAACAACTAAAAACATAAAAATTCACCATTTGGAGCTTGCAATTATAGTATTTCGGTTTTTCGGTCGGAAATTCAGAAATTCGGTTCGGTTGAAAGAACCCTGGTTTCCGAACTATCCATATTTTCCTTCCGAATTCCGAACCAAATAGCATTAATTCGGTTTCGGTTCGGTTTACTTCGGTTTCAGTTCGTTTCGGTTTGGATTTACCGAATCGTTTGCCCACTCCTAATTTAGATAGGTTTTTGGACCATCTTGGCTTTCTTATATTCCCCCATGCATTCCAAATTGTTAATTTTATTGTGAAAGGGAATTGATGATCTTGACGATGACATTGATTTATCAAAAAGTGTGGGCCAAATTAGCTTTGCCCTACAGACAGACAATATGATCATGAAAACACACCCACCTATAAAACAAATCCCCATATTTAAAGAAGAGAAAAAGGGGAAAGCAAAAGGACCATATACGTTTTGTGACACAACATATAATAGAGTGGTGGTTGTGAATTCGTGATTGTGGTATATGATTAGGGTGTACATGGGTGATCCGTTGTTCAGAGTTTACTCATTTTAATCACTCGACTCGTGCACTATGTTTTGGAAAATATTAAATACAAATCCACTCAAAAAGATTAAAATCCTACCGTTTATTTCTAATTGGGTTGGATTAGGTTGGCGATATTTATAAGTAAAAACCCAACCCAACCCAACATAAAATATATAATTATTCTACACCATGAAAATATTTTATAACTAATTAAAATTTTAAATGAATAAACCAAGTGAAAGGTATCAAAATGCACAAATGTTGTTTGAATTTTAATAAAATGTGATTTACTTCAACATATGTCTAGTTTTTTTCACGACATTTGTCGAAATAGGCTAAAGTGGTTATAAACAAACGCATCCATAATATGTTATTCTATTAAAATTGTAGACAAGAAAAAGGATAACGTGAATCATAGCTATATTTAAATCTATGTCTAAACTTTAAGCCAAAGAATGCATTAGATTAGGGAGATCATGAGAGAAAAACATGGCGAAATATCTTAATTTTCTCATAAATATGGCTATATACGACATCAATATTTTTTGGATACGAGAACTCATGCCAATAGTTGGAATACGGGTTGGGTCGGGTTTTATAGGTTGTGTAATCCAAAATCTACACTCAACGCAAAAGAGGCTGGTTGTACAAAAGAAAACCCTCACCCAACCTTAAACGTTAATTTTGGCGATAAATACGGGTGGGTTGGACGGGTGGATCGATTTGCGAGTATGTTTGTTCACCCTATATATGATATGTCCATCCTATTTCCCACTTCGTTGGGTTTACTTAATTATATATAATTATGGTCTACAACTCATTTATGTATAATTTTTTTTTTATTCGTTGATTTGTCCTATAATAGTTATTTGATGAATTTATGAAGTAACGAAGATGTATCAATAAGTTTCATAATTTTCTAGAATACAAGCAAATCATAAATAATGATCATGAAAATCCACACATTTTTAAAAGAGAAATAATACGATACAAAATCTAGAACGGCAAACTTTCAAATTTTGTGGCTTACCACTTTTTATACGAGTTATACCACCCTAACTAATACGATCGTATTGGGGTAGTATGTTTTGTATTGGGATGATAAGACACAGGTTTTGTAGCCCATGGATTTTGGTACAAAATCTAGAATTGAAAACCTATAAAGTTTGTGTTTTACCACCCCTTAATCATACCACACTAAATAATACGATCGTATTGGAGTGGTATGTTTCATATCAGGATGATAAGATGTGAGTTTTGTAAGTTTTGTAGTCCCTAGATAGATTTTATATCCTAACCCCACTCATTTTTTATTCAATATTGGTCAATAAAATTGGAATTATTTGGAAATCAAATCGGATTAATTCAAATGAAGATGCAATGCATCCGTAAAGGAGAGTATATTTATATATTTTCCCCATTTTGAAGTCAAAAGAAGTAATGAACCTCAGCTGATTAAGACAGTCCATAGAGATAAAAGACTTATTAGCAAAAGGTGCCAACTGCCACCCAAAGGAAAGGAGATATAATATGCCTAGTCCAGCAGTTGTGACTTGTGAGTTATGCATGGTCTCATATAAAGAGTTTGGTTACTCTTGTTAAAAATTAATTGATCTCAACTCTCATTGTTTGGAGATTTTTAATTATGAATTTTATATAATTTACTAACAGTCATGATGTATCAAAACTTCTTAATCTTAGTAATATCGGTCTAAGTTGGACAAACATTTAATCCAAAACGTAAATATTGTCACTCAAATGATTCAAACACAAGACTTTTCACGTACCCTGTATCAACCCACTACATAAACACGGTTTGCAAATCTTAGGCCATGTTTGGTAGTAGAGATTCTCTAAATTGATGCATATAATCAATTTTATGTATTCTAATTAAATGCATTGTGAATTTGAAAATTACATTGTTTAGAGATTGAACGATTTTGGTGGTCCCTCAAAAAATGAAGAAAAAAAAAGAGAGACTAACAATCGTCCATAATTAAAAAATTCTGACGGTCTCATCTTCTGCACAAAATAAAATATTGCGTCTCCTTTTAATACTAAAAAAAATGACAAACTCTCATAATTACATCGTCTGAAATCTCAACTTCCAACCGACCTCTTATACTCGTTACAATAACAAACCCTAGTGATGATCATCATACAAAAACAGGACATCACTCAAAAAAAGAAGATCCACAGCTCATCAGCCATCACATGCATGTTGAACAGATGGATGACACTAACTTAATGACAACGAAGGAAAACTACCCAAACGGCACCGAATCACACTCTCCCCTAAACTCTCGACCATTTCGATGGCCTGTTTATAGTACAAGAGAAAGGAACATTAACAGGGGAACATTAACAAGGGATCCATATGGAGTACGGCCGCCTAACAAGCATATTAGACAGAAACAAGCAATTACTAGACCATTATCTTACTTAAGATGTGTGAATCCAAATGTCTAAATTGCATATTGCAGCCAAAATTAGTTTGTTTTAATTGAGGAAGAGTCCGGTTGAATCACGCCGCATACCACATCGTCATGAACCGAGTCGCAAACACCCTTGGTCAATCGGTGCAGTCGAACTGAACCACAATACAATCTCGATTTGAATTGTGAAAATCACACGAAAACTCATAGACGGTTTTACTTTTTGACATTCCTAGACACGACCTGTTATTTTAACAGATGAATGGTAAGCACCATAATCGGATCGGGCACCACTTGGTTCAACCTGTACATGGCCGTTGGGCCATGCTTGGGCCGGCACGATACGGGCATGCTTCGGGCCCATTTATTTCGTGCCGTGCTTGGCACTAGGGGCGGGCATGCGGTTCGGATTTACCGAACCGAACCGAACAAAAACCGACTGAAACCGAAGTTAACCTTATTAGGTTCGGAATTCGGACTGAAATAGAGCATATTTCGGGAGACACCTTCTTGTGAACCGATACGAACAACCGATTTTCCGACCGATTTTCCGAATCTTCAACCTATGTGATCTGCCTAGACCCCAGAGCCCAGGCCCAAGTTCCCAACCCAGCCCAATTGTTTAACCCTCAGCACTCAGCCCATTCTCTGATACTGATACCCAAGCCCCAATGCCCGCCCAGCCCAAGTCCCAACCCACCCAGCCCAATTGATCCATTCCATTTCCACTTACCTGGCCCGACACCAATGCCCCAGCAGCTGAGCAGCAGCAACCCTAAGTCCCTAACCCTAATCGAAACAGCACCAGAGACACAGTCTTCAGCGTCGCTGCCCGCTTGTAACCCCGCTCCTGATCGGCGATCTCTTCCACAGTCTAGAGAGGCAGAGACACACCGACCGGCGGCCACCGCGATTCGTTGTTTCTCCACGGGCTGCGGGGACGACCTGACTTGCGGGTTGCGTCAGCCCACCTCCTCCATCCATCTCTCTCCCACCGCACTCGCCGCCGCCCCGCTTTCCACCCAGTCCCACCGACTCTCCCGTCGGCCGCCACCACTCGCGTCTCGCAATCGAATCCCACCGCCCGTACTCGCGTTCGCAGCTCCGCACTGCCCAATGCTCCATTCTAGCCGGCGGCAGCCATAGCAAGACAAGAGGAAGGATTCCAACTCCGAAGTAATCCAACCAAAGCCTACCTCCACCAGTCGACATGACCACCAATCGAAAAGCTAGCAGACAGAGAAATGCCGGCAGCTCCACCCACACCGACAGTCAACCAATTCCAAATGAGGACGTCCATGTGTTGGTATGTTCTAATTCTTGTTCAATCGGTGAGATTGCATTGGTTTGATAGGCATATTTGGTTGAGTTTATGAGAGGCAGATTTGTTGAATTTGTTGACTGGTTGTAGTTGTAAGCCTGGAACTATTTTTCTTGTATTTGTATATATGTAATTCTGTATGGAAAGTTGTAGAAAATAATTAGTGTAGCTGATCATGTAGACTAGTTGGAAATGAAATAAATGATAATGCTCTCTAACTCTTAGTATGTCGCATAGCAGTAGCACCATGATGTACTGCTGCTTCTCGTTCCTCTCTTCAAACGTGTTCGACTAGTTGAAAATAAATGATAAAGCTCTCTATCATTCTGCCTTTTGTATTTTCCTTAATGCTATTGTTGCTTGTGTTTATTGATGATGTATTGGTGATGAAAATTTACTTTGTTTATTGTTGGTGTAGGAAGAGGATTCATCGGCCGGTGGCAGTGAAGTTCCTGTGGAGGAGGCTGCTGCCCCTGCTGCCCGCTCTACTAGTACTACCAAAAAAAATATTAAAAACAAAAAGGAAGGAGATGAAGTCACGAGCTGTGTGTTGGACTCAATTTACAAAGTTCAGTGCCCCGGACGGATACAAGATGTCAAGGTGTATGAAGTGTGGGAAGGAGTACGAGGCAGATCCATTTCTTAATAGCGCCAATGCTATGAATGTTCATATGCGAAAGGGTTGTGATGACAAAAAAAGGTACTACTCAACAACTATTGAACTCAGGAAAAACTGGGGTAGAAGGTGAGGGTACTTTAACAAACTGGAGGTTTGATCAAGAAGCTACTAGAAAGGGTTTAGCATACATGCTCATTGTTGATGAAAAACCGTTCAAGTTTGTTGATGGGATGGGGTTTAAGTACTTCATGTCGCTATGCTGCCCTATGTTCAATATTCCTTCTAGAAGAACAATCACTAGGGACTTTTTTGCCTTCTATACTGAGATGAAAGACAAGTTGAAAAGGTTTTTTCAAAGTTGTGAAAGAAGAATTTGTTTGACTACTGATGCATGGACTTCGAATAAGCAAGATAGTTTTATGTGCTTAACTGCCCACTTTTTTACCAAGATTGGAAATTGATAAAGAAGAACATCAATTTTGGGGAACTTAAAGATCATAAAGGTGTAGACATTGTTGATGGCATTGTTGCTTGTTTGGATGATTGGGGGATTGACAAGGTCTTCACAATAACTGTTGATAATGCTAGCTCTAATGACACAGTTGTAGCCAAATTGAAGGAAGTTTTTAATACTAGAGGGACTAGTATTTGTGATAGTTCATTCCTTCACATGAGATGTGTGGCTCACATTTTAAATTTGGTTGTGTCTGATGGGCTTGGAGATATTTCCCCATTGGTGAAGATAATTAGAGAAGTTGTGAGGTTTATTAGAAACTCACCAGAAAGGTTGAAAAAATTTAATGAGTTTGCCAAAGTTCAAAAAGTAGAAGGCAAACGTGGCTTGTGTCTTGATGTTCCTACTAGATGGAACTCGACATTCTTGATGTTGCAGGCTGCTGAGAGGTTTGAAAAGGTGTTTAAGATGTTTGACATGTATGACGATCATTTTCGAAAGGACTTGGAAAGCAGGAAGGATAGACATGGCATAATTGGGGTCCCATAGAAGGATGATTGGGAGAATGCAAGGAGGATGATGGGATTTCTTGGTAAGTTCTATGACTTCACTTTGAAGATCTCGGGCTCAAGGTATACCACTTCTAACTTGTTCTTACAAGAGGTGCATTCCCTATATCATTTGATACACAAGTGGGAGACTGAAGCTGAGAAAGATTATGACTTGAGTGTCATGGCTAGCAAGATGAAAGTAAAGTACGAGAAGTATTGGGGAGATGTGAATAAAATGAACAAGCTACTTTACATCTCCACTGTTATGGATCTGAGGTACAAGTTGGGTTTTGTTGACTATGCTTTGAAAAGGGTGTATCCTGAGGATGGTAAGGGAGGACGTATGGAGGAAGATGTGAATAAGGCTACATTTGCTCTATTTGCTCACTATGAACAGCTTTGGAAATCAAAGCAATCTAAGAATGCCTCTACTTCTTTGGCTCCAACTGTGGAGGAGTGTGATGTTGATGAGATTGATGTACTTGCTGAATACAAAAAACATAGAGAGCAAATTGTAGGGGCGGTAAACAAATCTGAGCTTGAGAAATACCTTCGTGAGGAAGACGAGCCAATGGTGCTCAAGTTTGATGTTCTAGGTTGGTGGAAAGTTAACAGCTTGAGGTTTCCAACACTTTCATTGATGGCTAAAGATGTTCTAGCGGTACCTATCTCTACCGTTGCATCCGAATCTGCCTTTAGCGCTGGTGGGAGGATTCTAGATGGTTTCAGAAGTTCATTGACTCCTAAGATAGTGGATGCTTTAATTTGTAACTCGGATTGGATACGTGGTGATTCTGCACCACCATCAGTCGAGGAGGATCCAAAAGAGGTTGAGAAAATAGATGAAGGTAAAGTCTCAAATCTAGCATTACATATTTACAACATGATTAATTTGTATGTCATGACTAATTTTGGGTATTTTTAATCTTGCAGAATTGGACAAGTTGATGAATGCAATCTCCATAAGAGATAATCTTGTTTCATCTACCTCGACTTCCAATGTACCAAGTTTAAGTGGAAGGAGGAACGATGGTAGTGCATCTGGTAGTGCTTGTGGTGATAATTCCGATGTTTCTATGCATGATTGATGACTTTAGAGGTAAGAAGTTTAGATTTTATTCTACTTGACTATCTGTAATTAGCTCTATACATATTAATCACTAACCATCATTGTTTCATGTTTATTGTATAATTTTCAATTTAAAAGGTGTCAATTGACCAAGATTGGTGAAGAGCCAAGAAGCAGGACCTTAGAGTTTGTAAAAGTTATGCTTGGAATTTAGACAATGGCTACCTTTCTTTTGTTAGTTTGAATTTAAAACTATTTGTATTGTAATGAATGGTTCTAAACAGGTGACCTTCTCGTATTTGTGTTGGATATTTGGAAGGTGGATTTGTTTTATTTGTATTAAAATATTTGGAATGGAGATTGCAGGGGACAATATTTATTTACATCATTTCCAGTAGCAAGTGACAAATTTCCAGCAGCAGGCTAGTACCAAAAACCCTCGGCAGTTAAAATTTAAATGAGGCAACAGGTTTTTGGTTATGACCAAAAAACCGAATCGAACTGGATAGTATTTCGGTTCGGCCAAACCGAACCGAAATACTATTCGGTTGGCTCAAGAAAAATTTCGAAATATTGATACCTCCTTGTTCGGTTTGATTCAAACTGAACCGACCGAACGCCCACCCCTACTTGGCACGGCCCGTCAATTTTCGTGTCGTGCTATGCAAGCCCATTTGTTAACTTAGCTAGGCTCGACCCAGGCCCGGACACGGTTCGAATCGTGTTGTGCCTATTCATGCTCGTGCCATGCTCGTATTCGTGTTTAATGAAAAAGTTGAAAACAAAAGAGAGAATGAAAAAGAAGTTGAAAATCGGGAAAGATAGTATTAACCGATAATGTTTGAGAAAAGTAACAGATAAGGGGGAAAAGAAAATTGGAAGTATAGCGAGTGTGATTTGGTTCTGTTTAATTCTTTGTCCATTTTTACTTATGTTAGTAATTACGTAAATATTTTTATGACACTTCTAACAACAACAATTAATTATTTTTTCTACTTGTGTTTTGTAATATTTGAACCTATAATTCTTTTTATATTTATTTTTTATCAAATAAATATTATTTTCGTGCCATGTCCGTTCTTATACTCAATAAAGTCTCGAAAATATAAGGCCCGACACGGCCCACTTATATACCGTGTCGTGCCCGTGCTCGTGCCCATGAAGTTTAGGCCCGGCACGGCCCATAAATTATTCGTACTCGTGCCAGGCTTGCCCATTTATTTCGTGTCCATGCTCGTGTCGTGCTCTAACCATGTCGTGTCGTGCTAGCCCGTGGGCGGCACGGCCCGGTGCCCACGTACAGTTCAACCCCAAGGCCTGCTGGCAACAGGTGCAGGTGCATGCAACCAATGCAGTCAAAATCGCGCTCTAAAACTTAAAAACTTACGCTTTTACCTTTTTAGGTCACTAAAGCGCTTCTACGTAGAATCACACTTTTCCCTTACAAGTGTAGTCAAAATCTACGCTTTAAAACTTAAAAACTTACGATTTTACGCTTCTAGATCACCAAAATGTTTCTAGGTAAATCGCGCTTTTGACTGTATTGCATGCAACTAGGGCTGGAAGTTTGGTACCAGTATTTGGGATATACCGAATATCGTACCGAATTTGTCTATATTTGATATTACCGAATATATGTATTATTTTGTGGGATTGGGATTGAATTTTAATTGTAATTCGGTATTAGGGATTACAGGATTGAGATCGGTATATACCGAAATACCGATCAATACTGAAATATAAGCTAGTGTGTATTTTATCCTCTCAACTAGACTCTCCCATTCAATACTACGCGACCCTCAACAAGCAAAAGTGGCATTTAATTATACATAGATCATTACATCACTATTTCATAGTAGTATTAGTCGTCTCTCAACCTCAAATTCGTCAAATTAAAGATTACCAATTACAAGAACTTGAGATGTTAGTTCTAGGCAACTCAAGACTATTTGCTTAGTCTCTTTGCCCTAAATTAAACAATAAAATCTAATTTATATATTTAATTATTAATTACAAAGGTAATTAATTATGTAAGTGGTGACACGTGGCGGATTTCAAATGAGTGAAATGAGCAATTTAGGGCGAAGTCAGGTCAGCACGACAAATGGGTCCCATGGGAAGCGCTATGGAAGTGGGCCCATTCTCTGCATGAGACTAGACAGGGGGAAAAAGGGTCAACCTCAAAAAAGCACAGCCAGCCTGTTCGTCACCCCCTTTCCTTCATTAAACAGGTTTACAGGGCACTGTCCACGTGGCACACCCAAAAGCAAGCACCCACTCACAGAAAGAAAGAAAGACAAAAAAGTTTCACCACCAACAACAAAGTCCTACCACTGTAAAAAAAAAACAACAAAATCCTACCCAGGCGAAATTAACACGGTTTATGGAGTTTAAGTTGCATTAATTTTGAGGTGTTGGGTTACAGCCTGATTTAGCTAATCCTCTTTAGAGACGAAAGTATGCTGTGTGTGAAATGGGAGGGGGAAAAAATGAACAGTTACGAGTCTTCATGCAGTTACGCTTATCTTTGAAACAACATAGTGCAAAATATAGTAGTCAAATTGATATCGAGCTACGTACGATTCTAACATTCGTAACAATAATTGGATCGCGGTAGTACGTCCTAATCAATAATGCAATATGAAATGAAACCCACGGCCTTCCAGAAGCTAGCGAGCTAGCTGTACATTATTGACGGTGGCAAAGTTTGTATTATTCTACTGAGAATCCACAACGGAGCCCCCTTTTCCCCCGAATGGCTGCATTGCATTAGACCAAACCTGAAATCCCCTGTTTATTATATAATATAAATCCACCCAACACAACGACAAACCACCCTCTGCCAAACAGCCAAGAATTCCAATGCTGTCATGACTTGTCACATACTCGTATTTTCTAAACTAAAATAAAATAAATAATAAAACAGCACAGTCCAACACTTGGTCAATAAATAATTATGGTTAAATTCCAGCCAGTTCATTCCCACCTGTGAAAAAATAATAACCTTTGCAACTTGACATTTCTCGGAATAAGATAAAAAGGAAAAATAAATTTCAAAACCTAACAAATAAAATATAATAAAAAAGAAACTCCCCAAAAGACCCTCCAAAAAATTTGAAAATAAACCAAAAACAAAATCAGCTTAATAAAGAAACAAAAGGGTCCTCCACTTCACTTATGAACTCTGTGCAAATCCCACTCGAACGACCACGTTTTCCCTCCTCTTTCTTTTGTAAAAAAATGTTTTCCCCACTCATCACGGCGTAACGGCGCTGGTACTGGTAGCAGTGGCCCTGGACTCCGCGGGAGGAGTCTGGCCGTCGGAGCCTTTCGACGGATCATCGGAAGACTGCCTCAACCCATCGTCCGTCGTCGTCATCTCGCCTCTGTTTACCTCCTCGATCATCCTCACAACCTCCACCATCTCCGGCCGCTGATCAGGAACCGTGGAGACGCACGCCATGGCGATCTGCAGCAGCTGCACCATCTCCTCCTCGATGTTGTTGTACCTCATGAGCTCGACGTCGAAGACCTCGGCGGTCCACTCCTCGCGGACCACGGACTGCACCCACCGCGGCAGGTCGATCCCTTCCTCGCCGAGGGAGGCCTGGTTGGGCGCTTTCCCCGTGAGGAGCTCGAGCAGGAGGACGCCGAAGCTGTAGACGTCGGATTTGAAGGTCATTTTTCGGGTCTCGAGGACTTCAGGGGCGCGGTAGCCTGCCACGCGGCTGGGTGGGGTGGTGGTGCCGAAGAGAGGGTTGAGGCCGTAGTCGGAGATGGAGGCGTCGTGGTGGTCCTGGTGGCGGAGGAGGATGTTGGACGACTTAATGTTGCCGTGGGGCACTTTCCCCGCCATGTGGAGGTGGGCGAGCCCTTTTGCTGTGCTTGATGCTATCCTCATTCTGCTGTCCCAGTCCAATGGTGTCCGGCCAGAGCCTCTGCTTCCTGCAGAAAGGAAATAAACCCACGATGCCAAATGGGGACTTGGAATTAAAACCAGTTTCATAATAGTAAACGGGTATAAACTAAAATCAGTGAAATTGACAGTAAAGTTGGTAGCTTTTTAGTGTCCTGTTCGACTAGATGGTAAGATTTTCCACATACATGAACTGAATTGAAGCATGTGTAATGTAATGATCCAATCAGCCACAAAAGTCGTGATACGGTTGCTGAATTACAAGCCCTACCAAACAACCACTTTCCATCACTAACACTGGCTGAAATTCAAATTACAGATACACTACAGTCCCCCATCTTTATGATTTGAAGGTATCTTCCCTAGTGAAGGAAGATAGTTTCTTTATTAAGCAAAGCATATGAATCAATGGGCTCATCGTTTTGTGCTAAGAGGGTAATCTTGGTAGGCTATATTGGAGGGGAAGGGAGGCTCCAAAGTTCAAACAAGGACAATTAAGCACGGTTCTCTAGGTAAATATGGTCAAAAACAGGCCACGTTCATGGGCGAAGATAACAAGAAATTGCACCATGGATGCACTCAATAAAGGAAGAAAGTCCAAAGTAATGGCTCTGCCCCTGTACGAGTTCATCAAGAAAAAAGGTTATGACTCAAAGCTCAGACTGGGACTCAGTGAGTAGGGCAGCAGGCTTCAGTTCTGGCACCCATTACAACCACAGTGATTAAAAAGAAAGCAACTCCACTGAATCCTATGTTCTCACTTGCTCACCATTTACACCCTTCCCACCCACGGTAAAAAGTAAAAGTAGGGTTCTAAAGTTCAAAACCACAGTTAAAAAAAATTGACACAGAATGAGGATATCTTGAAGAAAGGGAAAGAAAAGTAAAAAGTGGTGAGAGGAGGGAAACCGAATGATGTCGGTGGATGGTTGGGCGACATTTCTTTAATCATTAGACCCATCAGCGAAAGGGAAATATAACAAAGCAAAAACAACTAAGAGGAAGAAATGGAAGTGGCAATGGTGATTGAATTCTCTGTGGTGCCAAATCATGAGCCTTCTTGATGCGGCAATGGGGCATCACAGAGCTTAAGAACGAACAATCAAACTAATAACGCGCCACTCAGCTGGCGTATACCTCACTCTAAGAATGTTTTCTTGTTCCCAATCCTGCACCACTCTTATAATTTATTCTACTTACTTACAAACCCTAATTATTTCAATTGTCAACCAACATTTCAGCTGGATGGTCCCTCTTTTTCGTAAATAAATAAATTCAACACAACATGCGAACAAATTCGTCCACTAACGATAATTATTATAATTAATCAGGGGAAATAGTTAATTAATTACTCAAAAATCAGGGTTTTCTTTAAAAATTTGACACCAGCAAGAGTCTAAGCACGGTAAACACTTAATTGCCGACCGACCTGACGATAATCATAATTATTATGATTTTGAATAGATAAATGGTAATTAGTAAATCATCCCTGGATGGGAAAATGACTTATTTTTCTGGTCAAACTCTTAATAAGGAAAAAACCAACCTAATTAGGACACAATTAGGTAGGAATCATTTATCACCGCCCCAATCAATCACCGGAAAGAATATCTAAACGGAATTTAATTTTACTAACAAATAATAAATTGTGTGGGGGAAAAAACGTACCGTGTAGGAGAGCCGATAAGCTGCCGGCGGCCATGTAATCGGAGACGAGAAGCTTCTCGTCTTTGGAGAAGTAGAAGGCTCTGAACGGAACCACATTGTCGTGCCGAACTTTCCCCAAAACTTCCATCTGCATCTCGAATTCCTTCTTCGTAACCACCACGTCTTTCAGCCGCTTGACGACGACCGTGGTGCCGTCTTCGAGCACGGCCTTGTACGAAGTGCCGACGCTGCCTTTCCCGAGGACCTCCGCCGAGGCTCTCAGCAGATCTTCGAGGTCGAAGCTGTAGACGCCTCCTTCGAAGAACACCAGCTTGTTCCGCTCGGCCTCGGCCGAGCCGCCGGTGATGTCGTCTTTGGAAGAGGAGGTCCCGCCGGCTTCGAGCGGGATGGATCTGGCGGCGGCTCCCACTGGCTTCGGAGGTTTGGGGGACTGCTGCCTCTGTTTCTTCCGGAGACAGCAGAAGAGCAAGAGGAGGAGGATGAGCAGGGCTAGGGCTGCGCCGACGGAGATTAGAACGATGGCGGCGGTGGAGAGTTTTTTGGATTTTTTGTGGGAAGGGAGAATCGGTTGAATTGTGGAAGGGGATGGGCTGGGGGAAGGGAAGAAGGGGTTGCAGGGAGGTAATGGACCGCCGCAGAGATCTAGATTCCCGGCGAATGCCGCGGCGGGGAACCTCTGTAAATTTCTAGGGATTGAGCCGTTGAGGTTGTTGTTGGAGACGTTGAAATCGGCCAAATTGGCTGAGATGGAAGGGAGCGGGCCGGAGAACGCGTTATTCTCGAGGAACAGACCGGTTAGGCGAGTCCAATTGTTGACGGCGAAAGGAATCGGGCCGGTGAAGTTGTTGGACGAGAGGTCGAGCCGCGTCAGCCGAACCAACGGAGTCACTCCCGCGGGGAACTCGCCGGAGAAGGCGTTGTTCTGAAGGTAGAGGCTGCGGAGGAGAGTGAGGTTGGAGAAATCGGAAGGGATCTCGCCGGAGAGGCGGTTGGAGCGGAGACTGAGGACTCTGAGCTGAGAAAGCCGTCCAAGCGTGTCCGGCGGAATCGGCCCCACCAGGCCGGCGCCGGGGAGGCGGAGGGAGTAGACGGACGACTGATTCGCGTCGCACTCGATTCCGACCCAGCTGCAGGCGGAATTGTTGCGGCTCCATTGGAGCCGATTCGCGTGAGGGACCTGTGAGAGAAAAGTAAGGAGCGCTTGCTTCTCCTCCTCCGGCGGCTCCGCAGTCACAGTCACGACCAACAGAGACACCAAAAGAAGCCATCCGAGAAACGCTGAACCAGAATCGAAAACCCTCGCCATTGATGCGGAGAAACGGAAGAGGAAGAAGCAATTCCCAAAATAAAACTTAAAACCAACGGCAGCTGAGCTAGATATCAAATCTGGTGGTCACTCTGCCGGCGGTTACTGTCGAGAGGGAAGACAGCTCGCCGGAGAGATTCCATCCGCGAGAGAGAAGAAGAGTTGGGGATGGAATGGTGTCGCTATGAGCGTGAAGTGTGGGAACGATAAAAGGGAGGGATGAAGGAGAAGAAGGAATCACGAGGGGAAGAAGCAGAAAAAACGTAAACCATAAAACAGAAATAAGTAAATTAATAAATGTTAAATAATTAGGGGGGAAATGGGAAAGGCTTAGCTGGCAGTAGTCATAACGCTTTCAACTTTTCCTATTTTATTTATATATATGTTTTCTATCTTTTAGTTGTTTTTAATATTTATTTGTTTTTACTCTTTGTGCAAGTAATTAGTAGGGGATCAGCATTAGATTTTTGTCAAAAAACATGAAAGATTTATCACACTGTATACTGTGAATTTACCACGGTCAACGATACTTATAGAGAGATTAAGACGGGAAGAGAAAGTTTATCAACAAATTTAAGACTGAAAAGGATTGATAGATTTCTTCGCTGATATATATGGTACTAGCGTTAAGAGAGATGTTTAAGGAATGTGGTCAGAATTTAGATATTAGGTTTAGGGAATTAGGGGGAGAAAAATAAGATGCTAGTAAGGGATGATTGCTGAATAAGTTTCGGGCTAAGATGATCTCTAGTTAGGAAGCTACAAGTATGGTCGCAGATTCGAGTCGAATTGAATGAAATTATTATCTAATTTGAGGACGACTTGTTTATGAAAAGCTTAGTTCGTTTGTCTCGAGATCGGCTCATCAATTCGCTCCTAGGATCAAGTTGTACTCAGATATGATATTATTTAGTAATTAGTATCTTAGCAATTTATGATATATAATTTCTCTTTTAAATTAGAAATTAGACATATTCGATACTAACCTTATGGATTATCAACAAGCGAATGATGAAATATTAATCGATTCGCTTATAAGTTGCTAGTTGAGGTGACTCACTAGCCATACTATCGAGTTAGCTGAAAGAACAGGGATCTAGGTGTGCGATTAGGAATTTGGATCGATGTGCAAATTGGGTATTTAGGTGAGGAAGAATAGGGATTTGGGTGAGAAAAAAGTAGAAGTCGGTCTCCGGGAGGGAGGTGGCCGACGGCTAGGTGAGAGAGAGAAAGAGAGTTCGGCTAGGTGAGAGAGAGAATTAGGCTTTAGGGAATAATAGTCGTTTTATTGCTTGCAGAACCTACTCCTAACACACTATATATATTATCCGAAGAATTTCCTCCAACTACCCAAATAATTAACCTAACCGAATAGACCCCAATAGTCCTGAATAATAATAATAATAATAATAATAATAATGGTGAACGACAAATAAACCCCCTACATAACATGTTTCTGACATTCCATCCCCCCTGAAACCCACCTTGCCCTCAAGGTGGGCCTTCTTTCTTTTCTTCATTCTGGTTCTCGCCCTTGGCGCACTGGTGGCCCACGGTATACCTCTCATCGCAATTGAAACAGCGGCCATCCCTGCGTTTCTGCCCACGGTATACCCCTACATAACATGCCTCACGAACCCCCACGGTGGAAGCCTAGTTGGGAATCGACTTCCCCTTGCACCCCCGGCTGCTGCAGGGCTGGGAGCCGCCGCCGATGGTGATGCCGCGACTGCCCCGGGTCCAGTATCGACCCCTGCGCCTCGCTAGCCCTCTGTATCCGCCCGACCGAAGACCTCCAGCTAGCCAGTTCCTCCTCCTTCCGCCATGCTAGTCTGAAAGCCACCCGCAGAGAGTCGGGCTCAAATACCATAACTGCCGCGGCGAGTTCCGGCCTCAACCCTGCCATGCAGAGTCCCACCAAGGTCTCCTCCGTCGTTTCCTTACACTGATTCCCGAGCTTCAGGAATTCGGCTCAATACTCAACTACCGTGCTGGTCTGATTCAGCTTAGCTAGCTGCTCAGGCGCCCACCCCTCTGCTCTTCCAAACTGGTATCGAAGCTCCTCCTGAAACCTGGGCCAGGAGATATTCTCTCCTGCCGCCATGTAGGCTCTCTCCGTCCATTCCCACCATTGGAGGGCATCTCCCTCCAAATAGAAGGACGCCAGGTGCGCCTTCCGTTCTTCCCTGGTCGGATGGTTCTTGAACCACCTCTCTGCCGCATACAACCACAACCCCACATCACCATTACCATCGTACTTCGGGAACTCGATAACCGACGACTTAGCTCTGAACACCAGCTCCTGATCATATTCATAGAGAGGGTTATAGTACCCATACCTGCCCCCATCCGGTGGCAGCGGCCTCCCTGACGCATGGCGGTAGTAGTCCGCCTCTTCTTCCTGTCGACGAGAATAGGCCCAGTCGGCCATTAACCTCTGGTAGTCTTCCTCATGTCTGGGCTTGGTCCCAGAGCCTTGCCCTTCTTCCATTCTGCGCCCATTGCGCCCTTGATCCGCGAGCGGGGTTCCCCATGTGGGAAATCCCCTTTCGGGTGCGCCGCGGTCGTTCCCGGTCGCTCCACCCGCTCCGCCCCCAGCTGGTGCCTGGGGGAACCCTTCCATACTCGACCCGGTTTGGGCCTGTTCGACCCGGTCTGGTTTGACTGATTCCGGTATGACCCGGTCCGGTTCAGCCGAAGCTGGTCCGACCCGGTTGTGACCCGACCGGCGGCTGGCCGACTCCTTCGGGTCCTGTGTCCGCCCACCCGTCTTCTGGGTCCTCGAAGTCCAGCTCCTCCTCTTCGCCATCGCAGCCTGGTCCATCAAACTCTACCACCTTTTGCTTCCCGCGGGCCGCATAGATTTGTTGGGCCGTCGGAGCGGGCAGCAGGCCAGGCCCACTAAAGACTTGCCCGGACTGACCTTCCCGGCCTCGTCCCCCGCCGCCTTCCGATCCAACCACCACCTCTCCCGCAGCCGCGCCTCCCGCCAACCACCGTCGTGGCGCCCGCCGCGCCTGCCGCCGTGGCGCCCGCCACACTTACCGCCGTCTCGTTGCTCGCAACCGCCGCCAGGGCGTCGTCAGCGCCCGCCGCAGCCCTTGATGGCTTGCCCCCCGTTGTCGCGGCTGCTCCCATCACCGCCTCGGCCACCATCTTCACCGCCGCGGGGCGGTTCTCAGGGTTTGGCTCACGACTCTGTAGAACGCCGATCAGAACCTCCTTCATCGTGTCCGCGAGGGATCGGCACAACTTATCCGTCACTGTCTTGCCCATCTCTTCAATCGAGACCGCAATCTGACCGCCTAGGGCTTCGATGGCACCGATCGAGCCCCGCGATGCTGCTGCTGCACTTTCCGTCTACTCCGTGAGAGTTTCCAACGTTGTGACGATCACGTCATACTTGTTTGTTGTGATATCCTTCACGGTGACGACCTCCTTGGTCGTTTTCTGCTACTGCGGTTTGTCTGCCGGGTTCGACATCTTCCCTGCTCAAGAACCTTTGCAGAAATCGGCAGACCAGTCAGGCTTTGATACCACTGAAAGAACAGGGATCTAGGTGTGCGATTAGGAATTTGGATCGATGTGCGAATTGGGGATTTAGGTGAGGGAGAATAGGGATTTGGGTGAGAAAGAAGCAGAAGTCGGTCTCCGGGAGAGAGGTGGCCAACGACTAGGTGAGAGAGAGAGAGAGAGAGAGAGAGTTCGGCTAGGTGAGAGAGAGAATTAGGCTTTTGGGAATAATAGTCGTTTTATTGCTTGCCTCTTAACCTACTCCTAAGACACTATATATATTATCCGAAGAATTTCCTCTAACTACCCAAATAATTAACCTAACCGAATAGACCCCAATAGTCCCGAATAATAATAATGATGATGAACGACAAATAAACCCCTACATAACATGTTTCCGACATTAGCTCATAGCTCAAAACGAGCAAGCTCGCGAGTTCATCTCAACAAACCGGTGACTCGAGCTGGCTCATAGGGCTTATGAGCTGAACGAGACTTAGCTCAAACTCGTATCATTAGTAAATGAGCCAAGTGTCAAATGACCTTTTCACAAACCAAACGTCGAGACGCTCGTGAGCATCTTAGGTTATTTGTAGCCCTATCTACAAGAGGGACCCTACAGTCATCCATGAGCCAGCTCTGGTCACTAGTAACCTACAAAGACAATAGATGCGCTACCTTGGGACAAACCTGAGACCTTGAATTGTCCACACAGACGGTGTTACTATTGGATTACTCCCTTGTTCACACAATTTTTCTATTTTTCACATAGGACGGGAACAAATTTTTGTAGGTTGAGTATCCAACCCAATTTAGTTGAAATGAGGTTCTATTTCATATAGTTTGGATTAGATATTTGTATTTTGACTTGTTGATGTTATCTTAATTTAATAAGTCCCACCCTATCATTCTCTTTCTTTCTTTAGCATTTAAGAAGGCAAAATACCAGAGCAACGGGTTACAAGGAAGAGAGAGAGCTAGAAGGAGGAGGGAGAGGTATCGACTACAAATGGTGTTAAAAAAATGCCCATATCATCCTCTCCAAGGATCAAAGTATGGCTTCAGAGAGGAAATTAGTAAGTTTATGCATATCGCAGGGATATTCATTTGATAATATGTGAATTTGATCATACTATACCAGTGTACTTAACCCATCTTTACAAGAATATCACTTAGTTGTGGTGATGTTGGGTCTATAACTAATGATGTCCAAAAGTAGGATTTTATGTCTCTATTGTTTCAAGTGTAACCCTGATAGGCTGATATCGGGGGGAAAATCCTAATGAATCGACTCAAACAGAACCTAACCCATGTCTGATAAACCCAAATATGGATCAAAAGATATTTAACTGAAAACTAGAGATTTATGATAATGCGACTCTACCACATGTATACGAGTTTTTCACTTGGTAAACTCTAAGTAGGTAGCTAGGTGTTCAACAAAACTAGGTATTGGACCAAATATGGAAAATAGATGGCGAAATATAACTAACCAAGGTACGAAAAATGTTATAGGCACCGGGAAATAAGGGTAAGTTTCCTTGATTTCCCACTACTACTTATTTAGGAAATCCCTTGTGCATAGCATACCATTGTTTTCTTACTTCACTCAAGCGCCATAGCCCATATATAACTCGATAAACAAGTTATGTTCTCCAGAGACTAAATTATGGGAAGGGCAAGTATAAATTGTAGGATTTTGCTACGGTGACATGCATGTCACCGTGACATGGACTTTTCGGTCGACCTATTGCTGAAGGCGGTCGACCGAATTGACTAATTCATGTATGTGGGATTCCAAGACGCGGTCGACCTCTTACATAATACGGTCGACCGCTTTGGTGGTCTAACAGAATGAAAGGTCGACCCAAATATCTTATAGGCCGACCCTTGTGCACCTAACAGGTCGACCGCATTAGGAAGAGGTCGATCGCCTTCACACCGTATCCGTATTGGATATGGATTCCAACACCAGAAAGGTTCCACAATTGGACAAGGAAACGAATTGGGTCAACCGATTGACGTCCCAAATCTCTATAAATACGAATATTAGTCCCCTTCAACGCCTCCAAGTCTGAATTAGGTTTTTTTCCGATTTAGAGCCTTTGTGAAGAAGATCGTTCGCGGTTGCTGTTGTACGCGTTGGATGATCGACCAGGTCTAAGGTGAGGTCGACCTAATGTACCATTCGTCGTCTTCTTTTCTAATGCGTGATTTCTACCGGCTAATTTGATATATTGTTGGGTGCAGAATTCCATTCGGTCGACCGTGACGTCAACCAGGTCGACCTGCCGAGACAATTCTGCGTATTTGAATTTAGGCCACAACACTTGGATTTTTGTACTTGCGAGGTAACCCAATTGGTCGACCTAATGGGTTTCAAGGTCGACCGTTCCTGTTTTTTTGGTTATTCAACCTGAATGTCGACTTTGGCTTTGATTGTATGACTATGTTGTGCTTGAAAAGGTCGACCGCACCAGATATCTGGTCGACCTATCCTTTTTTCGGTTTAATTTTGAACTTACTTTTTGTTGTTAATTGTTATTTTCCTGCTGGATAGGTCGACCTAGGAATAACAGAGGTCGACCTAGGAATAACAGAGGTCGACCTTAATGGTTGTGGTAGTCATTATTTGTCTTCCAGGTCGACCTAATACTTTGTCAGGTCGACCACGTCTTTGTTTTTTGGTCAATTGTAGAAATTTGTAGTTGAATTATGATTTAAATTTTTCTTGAAATTGTTTAGACAATGACGCATGATGAGAAACTGCATCAAGATTTGGGTGAAATCATGAAATTGTTGAAAGCCACACAAGAGAAGCTGGTGGTGTGTCAAACACAAGTCAATGACTTTCAGAAGTCCATGTGTGATAGAGTGGAGCAATTGTCAGTTCGACTGACAGATATTACTGGGATGATGCATGACGGGTTTGAGAGGCTAGAAGGTGCTATCAAAGATATAAGTGCAGAACGAATGGAGAATGGCGGAAGAAATGGTAAAGGAAAGAAATTTGACTTTGGTAAAGAGGAAGAAGACCATGATGACTCTGAAAATTGCTACCAGAGCATAGACGATTTATTGAAAGAGCACATTTTAAAGGTATCCAAGTATATTCATATGTGATTGAAGATATTAGTATTACTATCATTAGTGCTAATTTGTTTTGTTTATATGTTTGACAGAGTGAAACAACGAATGGCAGCAAGGGTTCCTCTCCTAAGTACAAGAGACCTCGATATGAAAGTGACTCCTACACCACTCCACAGAAGGATCAATTTGTAAGAAAAGGATTATTTAGTGATGATAGCGATGAAGAAGAATCTAAGAGTCCTTTCGAAAAGCATGGGGTAAGTTTACGTTACATATTCATCTATAATGTGTGTTTGTGTTCATATGTTACTTTAATTTTAACTATGATTTGTAGGTCATGAAAGTGGAGGGTTTAGAAGGATTCACCAAAAATCTTCAAAATCCAGTTGAAGACTTGTATTATGTTGTTACTAAAGAGAAGGCTGGGGACAAGAATTGGGACAAGCAAGACGTTTTTTAGTACGTGTGGTCGACCGGATCGGTTATGAGGTCGACCGCTTTTCCAATAAGGTCGACCGTGACTGTGAACAGGTCGACCTGTACGTTGCAAATCACAATTGACATTTCTGTTATTTTGATTTTTTTCAGTTTGACCGTTGTGGACTTTTTTTTCTGAAAACGTGCAACGACATTATTTGAGTTCGGTCATTAGCGAGAATAGCTGGGTTTGCTCATCAGTAAGTACTATACTACTACGACTTTCGTATGAATTGTGCACTATTTATGTTACGATTTATGATGATTTTGTGTTTGATTGTTGGATGGTAGGTAGTGGATTTGTGTGCAAGGGCACTAACAATGTCTGAAAAACATGATGTGAAAGAGCCAAATGTGTGGTATTTGCCAAATATGTTTTCGGTAAGAGCCGTAATGTCAAATTATTTGTCATAACCTAGATATTTATATTGTACCATGTCAATTCATCTCAACTAAAACATGCTGCAGAAAATGGTACGCGCTAACATGAAGACCAGACAAATTCGTAACAAGTTGATGAATGATGGCGTGGTCTTTATGCCGAATGTCAGTGCATGCCAGAAGGTTAGTCTAGTCAATGTCCCTCTATCATTAAATTTCGAAAGTGCATTTGTTTGTATTCGCTGTTTATAACATATAGTGAGTGTTTCGTTGCTAGATATTTATGTCAGTTCTTGACGATGAAGCACGTCATTGGTTTCTGTATCTCGTCAATGTCCAGCAAAAAACTGCATTTTTGCTTGACAGTCTACCTTCAACTAGTGAGGCGAATCGTAGGCGTAAATCAACACTATGCAAGATTTTATGGACTGAGGTCGACCTATGATGATATTGAGGTCGACCGGTGAAGTTTGAGTTGAGATTTCTGGCCTTATTATTTAGATCTGTAGCTTGAAAATATGGACTTTGTCCTTCTGTTCGCCATATGCGGTCGACCTTTTCATAATCATGGTCGACCGCATCTGGCCTTAAATCGATTTTTATTTATTTTTTATGGACTGAGGTCGACCTATGATGATATTGAGGTCGACCTGTGAAGTTCGAGTTGAGATTTCTGCCCTTATTATTCAAGCGATCTTATTTCTGTTTTTTTTTGTGCGAAACTAACACAGGTCGACCGCTTCTATTTATGAGGTCGACCGAATCTGTTTTGCACTCAATTGATACGAGCATTTGGGCCATTTCTTTTCGTTTTAATTTAGCCGAGGTCGACCTGTGATGCTTCTGAGGTCGACCTATGAAGGAAAATGTTCGAGTTGTGCCTTTGTCTTTGAATTATTTGTGCAAAACTAACACTGGTCGACCTCTTCTATTTATGAGGTCGACCGAATCTGTTTTGCACTCAATTGATACGAGCATTTGGGCCATTTATTTGTGCTAAACTTATTGAGGTCGACCTGTGATGATATTGAGGTCGACCTCGGGCCATTTAAATCAATTGAAAGCCAATTGTGACTTTCAGAAGCCGCGCAGTGCAGGAGATTAGGCCATCTTGCAATGCACTCGAAGACATAAACGATTGTGTCTTCGAGTGCATTACAAGGTGGTCTAATGTCCTGAACTGCACGGCTTTTGAAAGCACAATTGGCTTTCAATCGATTTAAATTTTCCGAGGTCGATTTATGTTTTTCTGAGGTCGACCGGATCTGTTTTGCACTCAATTGGTACAAGGATTTGGCCCATTTTAGACTCGTTTCAATTTAGCCGAGGTCGACCTATGAAGGCAAAAGTTGGAGTTGTGCAATTGTCTTTGAATTATTTGTGCGAAACTAACACTGGTCGACCTCTTCTAATTATGAGGTCAACCGGATCTGTTTTGCACTCAGTTGGTACGAGGATTTGGCCCATTTTAGACTCGTTTCAATTTAGCCGAGGTCGACCTATGATGCTTCTGAGGTCGACCGATGAAGGCAAAAGTTTGAGTTGTGCAATTGTCTTTGAATTATTTGTGCGAAACTAACACTGGTCGACCTCTTCTAATTATGAGGTCGACCGGATCTGTTTTGCACTCAGTTGGTACGAGGATTTGGCCCATTTTAGACTCGTTTCAATTTAGCCGAGGTCGACCTATGATGCTTCTAAGGTCGACCGATGAAGGCAAAAGTTTGAGTTGTGCAATTGTCTTTGAATTATTTGTGCAAAACTAACACTGGTCGACCTCTTCTAATTATGAGGTCGACCGGATCTGTTTTGCACTCAGTTGGTACGAGGATTTGGCCCATTTTAGACTCGTTTCAATTTAGCCGAGGTCGACCTATGATGCTTCTGAGGTCGACCGATGAAGGCAAAAGTTTGAGTTGTGCAATTGTCTTTGAATTATTTGTGCGAAACTAACACTGGTCGACCTCTTCTAATTATGAGGTCGACCGGATCTGTTTTGCACTCAATTGGTACGAGGATTTGGGCCATTTTAGACTCGTTTCAATTAAGCCGAGGTCGACCTATGATGCTTCTGAGGTCGACCGATGAAGGCAAAAATTCATGTATGTCGACCCATTCCCGTTTTAAATTAACTGAGGTCGACCCATTCTCGTTTTAAACTAACTGAGGTCGACCGCTTTATGGAGTGGTCGACCGCGTATTGTTCATTTCGAAAATGTGACTAACGTGTATTCTTGCTTGTTTGATCGCAGGATGTTTGGCGGCAAAAAGAAAAGAAAGGCACAAAAAGCTGCTGCCTCAAGTTCGGAATGGGAAGAGTTCAATCCCAATCTGTTCCAGACCAAGGAGCAAAGTGAGAACTATGAAGAGAAGAGAATGCACAACCGCAGGGTGGCTCTGGGAAGGCCATTGACGACGGATGCGTATTCTCATTTCGAGAATTACGGGTTTCTGGGACCCTTCATCGAGCAAGAGTGGCTGAAGGTGATATCTCTCAATGTACCATACTACCCAAAACTGGTACAGTACTTCTACAACAACATCGTCTACGAGCGCAATGCAAATGGATCCATTCACGCATTCAAATCCTATGTGAATGGGGTGGCGATGTGCATCAGCAAGAATGTGTTGGCGCAAGTACTTGAGGCTCCAAACGAGGGGAAGAGAATCAATTCTTACGGTGCTTGGAATGAAACGCATTTCACGAGAGCCAAGCAAATCCAGACGGTATGTGGTCTTGATGAAGAGGAAGATGCTCAGGGGCGCAATAGGCCATCGAGTAACCACCTGACAATTCAAGCCAGAGTTCTTCACCACATGCTTTCCTACAACATTCTGCCAAAGGGTGGACATCGGGAGACAGTCACCTACTTCGACATGGAGCTCCTCACCAACCTACTGTTAAGCGAGAAGGTGAACTTGCCATACTTAATCTTTAACCACATGCTTACTGCTGCAGAGAGTTCAAACAGGAATCTTCCCTATGGGATGATCCTCACTGTGCTATTTGAGCATTTTAATGTGAATTTAAGTGAAGAGGTGGGATTAAGAATCTCAAGGCAGGAGTTCTATACTGTTTCATCTCTGAAAAAGATGGGCTTTGAGCTGCGTAATGGTGAGTATGTCAGAGTGAACAATGCTCATGGTGGTGATGATGATGATGATGATGATGAGGGTGATGAAGGAGCTCGAGACGAGCCAATGGGGGAGGCACAGAGTTCAACTCCACCGATCACCTTACAGCGTGTGTGGGAGCGCATGGATGGCATGTACGAGTACATGGGCCAGATGTCCACCCAGATGACTGGCATGCACGACTACATGGGGCAAATGACCGCCCAGATGAGCACAATGCAGGTGACCGTGAATGAGATGCGAGATGAGTGGCGATCTTTCAGCGGAAGATACATGCATCCCACCACATCCGACCACCATCATGCTAGCACCACCAATGAAGAAAATGTGGATGAGAGAGAGGGGGGAGATGAGTAGGAGAAATGAGTTTTTATATTGTGTGTTTTAGTGGTCAAAACGATTGTTGAGTGTTATTATGTTGTTTTTTTAGTTTTATTTTTATGTGTGAACAATTATGATTTCTGTTTTATTTTTAGTTGTTATGCTGTGAATTGATGAGTCCTTGTTATAATTATGACTAATTATGATGGTTTGAAACATAATTTATACGATTAAAAGAACCACACAAATCGACATACATAAGCAAAAAAGACACGGGGCATAGGGTGACTTTCTTGTATTCGGTCGACCTCGTAACGGATTAGGTCGACCGCGAAACCAACACTTGATCTTGATTTTACGTCAAATAATTGGACACTTTGATAGAACACTTATCTTCTATCTGGTCGACCTCTTTCATCATCCGGTCGACCATTTTGTTAATGACTGCAATCAAGTGGTCGACCTATATACCTTAGGTGGTCGACCATGTTGTTTCTGACGCCAACGAAATGGCCGACCCAGGTTTTATTCTGGTCGACCAAAAATAAAAACTTAAACTAAGTGCGGTCGACTAGGTGGTCGTTGAGGTCGACCGCAATGTTTTCTCGTGCTGCCCAAATTAGTCGATTCGGTCGACCGCCTTCAGCAATAGGTCGACCGAAAAGTGCATGTCACCGTGACATGCATGTCATAGTAGGCATACCCTAAATTGTAACCAATTGTCAAACCAGAATAATATGCACAAGAAAGTCTTTCGTAGTCTTTGCCTTTGAAGTTTCAATTCCTTGTGAGCTATGTCTTCCTCAATTCTTCTTTCCTCATTCCGGCCTGTGTTCTTGGGTGAAAAGTGAAAACTTTTCCATTTTGACTATGGAGCAAATAGTAGTCTCTGTCCTTTTTCGGATTAGGATTCATTGGATAAATCAACCATACGACATAGTGAACATGTCTTGATTTATGATACATCGTGAGACAATTTTTTTTTGGGTTAATACCTTGTTTTGGCCCCAATTATGACCATATAATCAACTTTGGCCCGTGGTTTGGAAAATTAACATCCTGACCCGAACTTTGCAGTATATAGACTCATTTGGTCAGAAGTAGGGGTGGGCGTTTGGTTGGTTCGGTTTGAACCGAATCGAACTAGAACATCCCGAATTTCCGAGATACCCAAGACCCCAACCGAATTTGAACCGAGTTGTAATTCGGTTCGGTCTACCGAACCGAATTACAACTCGGTTCAGTTTGGTTTGAATGGTCATAACCGAAAACATTGTTGCCCACCGTTTTTGCCTGCTGCCTTCTGGAAATGGGGCTGGCTGCTGTGCTGAAAATGCTTATCAACTAGACAACTACCCCATCTCTCTCTCTTACTCTCATTTTCCAGTTCCCCTCTCTCTCTCACCCACCCCATCCGCTTTTCCACTCATCTTTGGCCACAATTATCTACCACCGCTGTCGCCCAACTCCCTCCGCCGCTGAGCTCGCTATCAACTACCCCCGTCGCCGCTGAGCTCGCTATCAACTACCCCCGTCGCCGCTGAGCTTGCTATCAACTATCACCGTCGCGACCGTTCCACTCGCCGGGTCTCCCTCTCCAATCGTGACCGTTCCAATCCTCACCCCTCGACGCTTGCATGTGGGTTGTGGTTGACGGCCTTCAAATCCGTCCACGCAGAGCTCGATGTAGCGGCAGTAGAGAGGCGGGATGCTCACGTTGGCGATGGTCCCGCCTCTGTTCAGGCCTCCACTAGATCTAATGCCGGTAAAGCTCCGAGCGACGATAGATGGCCGGAGTGATAGTTGCAGCCGCCTGGAAGTAGTGAGAGAGAGTGGGTGGTCGGAGGCTAGCTGGCGGCGAGGAAGCAATCGAAAGTGGATGGCCAATGGTGGTGACTGGTGAGGATCAGAGCCGAGTGGGCTGTTGGCGGCGATTCTCCTCCTTCTTTTTCTGGCTGCTGGGATAGGGTATTATGGTTGCTGGGATAGGGTATATGGGTTGTGGGGGAACTGGGAAGTGGGCTTGGGGAGAGGACTAGGCCACTTAGGGGATAGGCCAAGATGTGGGAACTGGGCTGGGCATATATTTTGGGTTCTCGGTTCGGGTTTCAGAATTTCGGGTTCGGTATGACCACCCTGGCTTCCGAAATATCCACATTCTGGTTCCGAATTCCAATCCGAACAGTAATAGTTTGGTTTTGGTTCGGTTCAGACTCGGTTCGGTTTGGGTTTACCGAACCGGATGCCCACCCCTAGCCAGAAGCGTGGTTTGACCGTTTGTTTAGACGGTCAACTCCGTTGACCGCTAGTCAACTGTTCAGGTCACCGCCATGTCAGCAATCAAAGTAATAAAAAATTACAATTACAAATTTATTTTCTTATTTCCTGTACCTAAAAAAATGAAAAAACAAATTCGGCCACCCATCTCCACCTTATCCCCTCGCCTCTTTCCTTCTTCGTGCAAAACCCAAAAATCCCTAACCCTAATCAGCGGATTGATTTTTCCTTGTGATTTCATCTTGCTTGTGATTTCATCTTCCTTTTCACCAAAATAAGCGGATTGATTTTTCCCGGTCGAGATGGAAAACAATGACTCTGACGACTCTTCCATCACTGTCTCTGCATCAACACCTTCAATATGTTCTTCTTTAATCGAAGAACGTGGTGCCACATTTGCTTTCGATTCTCCGTCCCCATTTGGGTGCTCTTCCATTTCCCCACCAAGCTTTTTCACATTGCCAGCTTCCTCTGCGTGTAGCGAAAGGGTTTCTTCTTCAACCTTGGTTTCAAAAGTGGCCCAATTTATAGCATTGCAACTTTCTCGTGTGTCCTTCTCCACCTTCTCCCTAAGAAGAGCAATGCCATAACAGGTCAATGGAAACAAACATTAAAAAAGAAGAGAAAAGTTTGAATCTCAGATCTGCAGAGAAACGACAGCTTACTTGGATTCAGGGGAGACATGGTGATTGATGGGTTGTTCATGAAGAATGGGTTCCTTTGTGGGAATCTCAATCTTCTGTAGCCGAGTTCCTCCATGGCCGGGTTTGTTGCTTTGGAGGGGGAGAACAGAGGAATCAAAAGTGTAGGCGAAAAGTGAAGATAAGGGAAGCCATTGTGGAGGCAAAGAGAAGGGACTTACAGGTTGGGTAGAGGGAGAAGAAACATCGGGCAGCAGGCGATATTGATTGAGCTTTCGGGGTAGAAGGGAGAAGAAGAATGGTTGGGGTTAGGGATTTTTGGATGTTACACGAAGAAGGAAAGATGCGAGGGGATAAGGTGGAAATGGGTGGCCGATTTTTTCCCCCACTTTTTGAATTAGGTACAGGAAATAAGAAAATAAAATTGAAATTAGAATTTTTTTTACTTTAGTTGCTGATATGGTGGTGACCTGGACAGTTGACTAACGGTCAATGAAGTTGACCGTCCAAACAAACGGTCAAACCACGCTTCTGGCCAAATGAGTATATATGCTACAAAGTTTGGGCCAGGATGTTAATTTCCCAAACCACGTGCCAAAGTTGATTATATGGTCATAGTTGGGGCCAAAATAAGGTATTAACCCTTTTTTTACTGTAATTGGGGTGAAAGTTGGTGGTGGATCACATAAATTCAGCAAGGAGGCTAGGAAACGAAGATAAGAATTATAATTAATAGTGTTAGACGGTCTCAGTTCACGTTAAATATTTTTTGTGGTTAAAATAGTGAACTAGTGTACCAACCAAATTGGAGTAGTTCATCCAATTCCATATCTAATCGTGAAAAATCGATGAACCACCCAAATTAATGAACTAAACAACTATTGTAACTGTTTTGCGCTTCTGCTGGTTCGCCCGCTGATCTGGTTCTTGAAACAAGGAAAAAGAAAATTGGAAAAAAGAAGATAGAAGAGTTTGGTTGAGAAAAATAGGGAGTATGTGGGGATGGTAAGGGAAAAATAAAATAGATAAAAATGAATATTGTTTTACAATTAATGATCTCCTCCAATTTACTATAATTATTAAAGGTGAGGTGATATGGACATGTTGGTGGTTAATCCGCGATTTGACATCATAAACCTACAAATAACTCGAACTGTAGCGGGTGGGTGATTGATGTAGGTGGATTGCGGATTGTCTCTTACTTGCACTTTTTTGGGTGGGTGGTGGATAGATTGCCGGTCACCCAAATGATCCACATAATGGTTTTCACATGCAAAAAAATTTGTTTCTTGTATATATTACCGAATAGTCATCATATTTCCTAATCGCACTACATACTGACCAACGACTTTAAAAGATGGAGAATAAAGAATACTTTTGGACTTATATTATTGGTTTAATATTCATTATATATTGCAATGCAAATCATAAACTATAAATTATAATAAAATCGCAAAATGAATAAGTTTTATATACATGGTTGATAAAGTAATAAAAAATCTGATGCAAATACTACATTGATTCATACGAGACAAAGTGAAAAGTGTAAACATTGATACTATCTACTAGGGCTGGTAATCGGTTGGTATTCGGTATACCGGATACCGAATATCCGGTATTCGGTATATCAGGTGCTGGCGTCGTGTCTGCCGAATACCGATGCCGAATTTCAGTCGGTATACCGGGTAATCGGTATCCGGTATGAACCTGGTATCTCGAAAACCGTCGAGGAAAATGGGGAAGAAGAACTGTCGCCGTTGGAATCGTCATCTCCGTCGGAATCTATGCACTCCAGCTCAGCGAACACTCGCCTCCTCCCCTGTTCTTCTTCTTCTTCCCTTTTTTTGTCTTCTAAATCCTTCCTTTCTTCTTCTACCTCTCCGTCGGCGACTGCTGCTGCTGGTGAAGAGAAGAGGATGACGGAGATGGACCGTAGCTCTTCCCGTCGGTGACTGCTGCTGGCTGAGGTAGGTGGGAGATCGAGTTTGGGCTTCGGGGAAGAGAAGAGGAAGAGGAAGCCGAGGCTAGCTGCTGGGGGCGACGAATTGAATCATACAGAGGAGAAAGGAGTGGGGCGGCAGGGGTTGTTGAACGACGGATTGAATTGGGGAGGTCGAGGGTCGGGGGTCGCCGGGTCGGGGATGGCGAGAAGGGAAGAGGTGGCCGTTGGAGGCTGCGGCGGGGCGCGTTGCTGGGGGCGGCGGCAGGGGCTGGGGGCGGCTGCTCGGAGAAGGGCTGCGGCTCAGATTTTTTAGGGTTGCTTTGCTGGGTTGGGTTGTTGCGGCAGAGCCCCAAATTGACAAATTCAATCCACCAAAACCATTCAGCCTGTGCACCGCGTTTTGCTCTTTTTTTTAGTAATTGGTACTACGGTATACCGTCGGTAACTACCGACTCTTATTCGGTATTACCGAATGTAAAATATCACGCCCGAATACCGATACCAACAGTATTCTACCACCCTACTATCTACTAAGTTGTGAGAAACTTATTATAAATGGCAAACAACTTTGTTGATTGTTAGTTGGAGAATTGATTTTGCTGACTATCCAACCGCATTCATCAGCCACCTACCCAACTCATCTAAAAAAAATATGAATGGATAATGAGTCACAATTATACCAAAAAGGGGGTCAATTTCACACCAGCATATTAATGAATATATATAGATATGAAGTAAGGTTACTGTTGCATAAAAAGTTACATTTTCATACCTCAAATTTAATGAAATCACAACTTAGTCACTATGATGTACATTTTACATTTTGATACCCCAGAATTAATTTTAATGCAAAATCATTGAACATTTATGTTTTGATATCTAAATTTTATGAGATTTCGTACCTACAATTTTTAATTTAAATATTGGTCCAATGTTTAGATTTCACTTGAATCCAATCTACTGATTTTTTTGAACCTATCCATGAATCCAATCCACCAAAACATAAAAGTATAAATTTAGTTTGTCCAATACAAGATGGTGTATCACTCAACTATAGGAGAAGATTCGACCATTTTATATTTGTTCATAATGTCAAACATTAAATAAATGATAAAAGAGAGTCGACTCTAAAATACTGCAAGAGCGAATATAAACTCATTTAGTACATTTACGGGGCACTAAACAAACTTCTACTAACTACATGTAACAAAATATGTGACATCTACATAAGCAAGTGTCAATAAATTGCTATGGTGAAAAGGGTTGATTGTTGTATTGATGGACAACTACCAAAACTTTTCCATCATCTATTTCTTCTTCGTTTCATTTTCCACACTCCTTTCTATAACCCTTTATTTATTTCTTTCTTTGCCTTCTTCGTCTAACCCTAATTAATATACTACTTTTATGTATACTAATCAAGTATGAATGAGTCCATAAACGACTCGCCAACAGTGTAGAGAACTAATAATTGAACCATGAAACACTAACTTTTCAGCTCAATGTCGAGTCTAATTAAAAATAAATATATATGTTTATTACTTATTAGAAATTCGTCATTTTTCACTATGAGATTTGAAGGCATGAAATTTTAAGCGAGTTCAAGTTTGTATTCCTTCCCTCTAGAGTTTTTCTTTATCATCCGGCTAGAATTTTCAACAACTATACATAGAATGTTTGCCTAGGTATCTACACATATCAAATAAATAGTTATTATTTTCTATAAAAAAAGTAAATAATTATCATCTCAAATAAATCACCATAAAAGGAATTAAGCCTCAACTATGCAAATTATAGTTTTGTACCTAAACTTAATGGGTCTTTGAATTTATAACCTAAATTTATTTTTTTGGTATATAAGTGCTCAAAATATTGATGGAACATTACATTTAGTACATAATTTTTTTTGTATTATATTTTGGTACCTAAACTTTTGAAGTTCCAAAAATATGTCTAATTTTAGTATATGCAATTAAAACACCCTCGAATAAATGGGTATCCACACCCAACTCATACACATTTAGATTATGAAAGTAAATATTCATACCCTACCCAAACTAGTCAACAAACTCCAAATTCATATATACATCACGCATACCCCACCTATAATCAATGAGTCTACTTGGGTTAGATGAATGTCATTTACTAAAAAAAAATTTCAATTTCTTTTAAATTGGATGTTGACCGCCATATATCTCTTTTCATTCAATATCTTATTGTCAAATTACTAACAAAATTGCTAACAAAAAATTAATTTTAGAGTAATAATACTAACAAAACACCATTACGGCCCACATAATACACGTCCATATGCCAGCCCATCTCCACCCGCAACAAGCCGCGACATTCCCACCTAGTAATCATGAAATTTGAAAGTTTGAAAAATCACTTATCACTATACCGTAATATACTAATATATTGTGAGGCAAACCTGTTGGGTATATGGCTCGGGTCTAGTCGCGCCAGGGAAGCATCCCGGCACCGCCCCAGAAGGGTCAGGCATTCCAATACTACCACAACCAAGGCGCCCGCAAGAGGATCACGCTCGCGCGGACGAAAACCCCATACTTCGAACAACGACGTTTCAATTAGGCCATGACCAGACCAAGAAACCAGAAAAACAACGCCGTGTTTACCGAAGAGTAGTCACATCATTGTCCTAGGTATAATCATAGTCAAATCTTCTAGTCCTAGGTAGAGGCATGGCCTAAAATTCTGACATGTCAGTAATCATGTCATATTGGATAACTCACCCACCACCATGTAGCCTATAAATATGGCATTTACTCCGGTGGGTGAGGGGATCCCATTTTTCACTCTCTCACTCTATCTACTAAGAACTTTATCTCTCTAAGAATTCTCTCTGCCCAATCTCCCCTGCTAATTACTCTAAGAATCTCTTCTGCCCTAACTTCCCCGTTGCTTACTCTACTCACCCACCTTTCATCCGAGTCTCCCTCCTACTCTCAGTTAGACTTAAACAATTGGCGCCCACCGTGGGGCCGAGTAGAAAAAGCAGTTGAAAATCAACCGATGGCAGAACACAACCCCAACTCACCTGACGAGGCGACGCCAATCAAGCCAATCAAGGCAATCAAGGAAACCAGCAACCTAAACGAGGTACTCATTGAAGAAGAATAGCCCGAGCTAACAGCCAAAGAAATGAGGCAGCAAATGGCGAAGCAAAACGAAGTCATAGCCGATATGCAAAGAAAAATGAACCAAGTCATTGCGCTCATGATGAGCAAAGAGGCCGCGCCAGCAGCACACGTGGAACCAATCGCGCCACGACAGGTGGCAGGTGAAGCGCCAGTGCCCGTCCCAGCACCAGAACTTGTCACGCTGCCACCAGCTGACGCACCACCCGCACGAGAAGTGCAACAAGCGGAGCCACGGGACAGGGAAAACCTGGGCTTCTTGGAGCAACATCTATCTCCGCAGTACCGCCCTCACCCACCCAGAAGAATCCTCCATCAACCGTTGAGCAAGGAAATCATGGCGGAACACCTAAGCGGAATGCCACCCGCCCTCCCAACATATAACGAGACTAGTGACCCGGAGGACCATGTTAGCACATTCTGCCTCAGGATGCAACTCCAGACAAATTCCAATGTGGCGCTATGCATAACCTTTCCATCAACATTCTCCGGCATATGCCTCGATTGGTACAACAGACTTCCTAACGGGATCATCTGCTCATTCGAAGAGTTCATACTCTTATTCACCATTAAGTTCACGTAGCAAAAAAGAAGGCCACTCCACCTCAAGGCCTTGACCGACATCCGACAAAAAGATGGGGAAAGCTTACGAGCATTCTACGCCAGGTGGTCCAGGATGGCGATGGCTGTGCGGGACCTTACCCCCTAAACCGCCGCTCATCACCTCATGGACGCCACCACCAACATGGAACTCAAGCGGGCGCTAGCAAAAAGACCAGTCACACTTTCGACGGAACTAGAGGTCAAAATCGAGAAAGCCATCACACTGGAGGAAACCTTGGGCGCAGGTTCTATCACGCGCTTCGAACCCTCAAAGCCGCCTAGAGAAGATCAGGGGCGGAAGCAACTCCCATTTTCGCGGGAGCAGTTGGTACAGTCACATAGCGGGCCCAAGCCCGCCCCACCAGAACACACTGCGCGCAGGCGTTCACCAGACAGACGCCCACAAAATGTCATGCCCGCCTACACACCACTCAACGACTCCGTAAAAAATTTGTTTCATGTGCTCCGTGAGAAGAGATACAAAATCAACTGGCCCGCACCTGTCAAAGCTGCACCACACATGCGCGACCCAAGCAAGCATTGCAAATTTCACAGGCAGACGGGCCACTTGACGGAGGATTGTAGGGAACTGAGGTACGAAATAGAAGGCCTCATTCGAAGATGACTCTTGTCCCAGTTCATCCAAGGAGCGGAAGGGCAAAAAGAACAACGCGAGGATCCCCTGCCACCTCCACAACCTGATTACGAAGAGGGTACCGGCGCGTATCTAGTGCGGAAGGAAATAGGGGTGGTGACAGTCGAAGGAGACCTCCCACACAAAAAAACAAAGCGCGAGCGCGCGAAGGAATGCGCGACGTCGGAGGCATAGCCAAGGTGCAACCTAAGTTTCAATGACGCGGAATTTCCTCAAGGGATCCCGTCCGAAGACCCACTCACCATCACCGCGCTGGTGGCCGCCTGCAAAGTCCACTGCCTACTAATAGACGGGGGCAGCGCGGCGGACATTCTCTTCAAAAGCACCCTCGACCAAATGGACATCGACCTGCACCTAATCAAGAGCGCGTAAGGGAACTTAGTTGGGTTCTCAGGAACGAGGGTTGCAGTGATCGGTGTGGTCACTCTCCCGGTCGTAATAAGAGACCAGGAGCCGCGAGTCTCCAAGCAGGTCGAGTTCACCATCGTCGACTGCAAATCTCCCCACAATGGCATCTTAGGTCGACCGTTCCTCGCCAAGTTCATGGCCCTCCCGTAGACGTGCCATCGGAAACTTAAATTTCCCACCATGGCAGGAATCAGAGAAGCGCGTGGGACGCCATGGGAAGCGCCAAAAATAGAGAGAGAGGCCCGCCAGACCAACATCGTCGACACGAGGGCAGAAGATCCGCGCCCAGAATCCATGGATTCAGACTTTGAAGTTGCACTAGATCCCACCAAGCCGATGAAGAAAATCTTCATCTCAACCCACGTCCACAGTGACGTAATTGAGCCAGTGATAGCGCTGCTGAAAGAATACAAAGAACTGTTCGCCTGGTGCACGAAGGACATGCCGGGATTTCCAAGGCAAATAGCTCAACATTGCCTCGCGGTTCCAGCTAACGCGGAGCCAAGGCAACAAGCGCGACGAAGCTTCATGGGCAACAAGCTGAAAGCCATAGAAGAAGAGGTCGTGCGGCTACTCGCTCCGGGACTGATACGCCCAGTGAAATACCCGAAGTGGTTGGCAAATGTGGTTTTGGTAAAGAAGTCCTCGGGGGCCTGTCGGATGTCCGTCGACTATACAACAATCAACAAGGTATGCCTGGGGGACCCTTACCCCCTACTGCGCATTGACCAACTGATCGACGCCACTGTCAGTCACGAAACACTGTCTTTCTTAGACATGTTCTCAGGGTACCACCAAATCCCAATGTCCAGCAAAGATGAGAAAAAAACGGCCTACATGATGCCATTCGGAAACTTCTGCTTCGTCGGAATGTCGTTTGGATTGAAGAACGCTGGCGCCACCTACCAAAGAATGATCGACTCGGTGTTCTCACAACAGATAGGGCGGAACATCGAGGCGTATGTGGATGACCTCATCGTCAAGATCAAAACAAGCAACTCCCATTTGGAAGACCTGCGCGAGACTTTTGAGGCGCTCCGCAAGCACAACCTCTGCTTAAACCCCTTGAAGTGTATGTTCAGAGCGGAAGCTGGAAAATTTATGGGTTTCATGATCACCAAACGTGGTATCGAAGTAGACCCGAAACAAATCACTGCAGTCCAATAGCTCCGAGCGCCAAGGAGTGCATTAGAGATACAATCCTTGAATGGCAAGATAGCGGCCCTAGGAAGATTCATACCAAGGTCAGCCGACAAGTGCGCCCCTTTCTTCAAAACACTTAAGAACGGCGTGCGGTTCACATGGTCCATGGAGTGTGAAGCGGCTTTCCAAGAACTCAAGTCATATCTTGTATATCCCCCTGTATTAACCCCTCTCAAGCTTAATGAAAAACTTTTTCTGTATCTTGCCGTGTCAACAAGAGCGGTGAGCGCGGTACTAATATCCAGGAGAGACGACCAGACTGAGCAGCCCGTGTGTTACACGTCGCGAACTCTGGTTAGCGCGGAAACAAGATATTCCCCAATAGAGAAAGCCTCTCTGGCGCTGGTGAGCGCGTCACAGAAATTACGCCCCTACTTCCAAGCACACCAAATCATCGTCCTGACCAACCTTCCGCCGAAAAAATCCTAACCTCAATGGAAGTGTCCGGGCGAATGGTTAAATGGGCGGTCGAGTTGTCAGAGTACGACATCCAGTACGCGCCAAGACCAGCATTAAAAGTGCAGATTCTAGCAGATTTCATCGCCGAAGGAGTCACTCTCGATACAAAACCAGAGGGAGTATGGGAGATTTACGTGGACGGCGCGGCTAGCAAACACGGAGCCGGAGTGGGTGTCGTCGTGCACACCCCCGACAGGCGTCGTCCACAAAATAGCAATCCGATTCAGAGCGTTGAAAACAAATAACGCGGCCGAGTATAAGGCCATCTTGGCGGGAATGACGGCCGCCAACGACTTGGGCGCAGGAACGATCAGGGTGTTATCCGATTCTTCTCTGGCAGTCAACCAACTGAACGGGACCTTCGACGCAAAGGAAGAAATGCTCGCGCATTACATGGAGCGTGTCAAACGACTGGCACGTACCTTTGAAGCGGTGAACTATGTGCAAATACCAAGGGAGGAAAACATGCACGCGGACGCGCTATCCAAGCTAGCAACCACCACCGACTTCGAATCAACACGCCTAGTCTCAGTCCAAAAATAAGAAGAGGAAATCCACCAAGGTGTCATGATCAACAACACGCAAATTATGCAAGAAGAAGACTGGAGAGCTCCAATCATAACATACTTACAAGATGGTGTGGCACAGGAGGACACCAAAGAGGCGTGGACCTTAAGGAAAAAAGCGGCCCGATGCACGCTCATTGGAGGGGAGTTATACCACCGGTCATACTCTAGCGTATAACTAAAATGCATCGGACAGGAGGAGGCGCGCAACATAGTGCGCGACTGACTCACTTCTACTGTCACCCTAAGAATTGGCCAAGTGTAACCACTTCCTAAAGCGTAGTATAGCGGGTTTAGGTTTAATTATCAACCCGGGTCCTAGATTTGATGACTACTCAGTGAATTCTTGTTATCTAGCAATGAAACTGGAATGCAAGTCTAAACTAACAAACTAACAAAGCAAGTAAACTGTTGTATTCAGGTTAAGAGAGGTCACCTGGATATGGTTCCCCCTAGACTGCAGTTAAGCCGGATTGTAATTACCAAGTTCAGTTTCTATGATAGTTATACTGCGGAAGGTTCTTAAACAGCCTGAAGTCTCGACTAAAGGTCTTCAGACCCTCTCAATCTGAGTCTCTAGCGGGCGACTAACCTCCACCGGAGTAAACAGATTGAGGCCTTAACAAACTAAACCTCCACTACCGGAGTAAATCCGGTACAGAATAGTGAGTTGGCTCCTCGACTAAAGTCACCAACTCCCTACCTTCAATCAAGGATGCTCTATCAACCTAGGCATATATTCTCATTCTAGGTTAAAGCAGAAACAACAGGAATTTGATCAGGATTCAAGTCATTCAATCATTCAAACCTCAATCGAATATAATCAAATCATAGAATCAGTACTTGGGTTCATACAATCAAACCTAACATACAAATCTAGGGTTCTCCATACCCAGATGAATGGGAGAACTACTCCATGGAGAAAGAGGCAAAAGCAGAATCAGACGCGGAATTCATACTGTGAAGGATGGATTCCTGCTCCTGGACGTTGATCGGCACTTCTCCAAGCTCAAGCTGGCCTCCAATGGTGTTGAAGATCAATCTAGGGCACTTGGGAACTCTTGTTCGTCGCTTTCTCTCTCTAGGAACTGATCTCTCTCTCTAAAACTCGAATCCCCTTCTGTTTGGCTGAAAATCTGCTTAAAAGGGCATCAGTGGCCAAAGCACGGTCGAGGGCACGGCCGTGTAATGCCTCAGCCCGCCCGTGCTTTGGCTAGTGTTAATTACACTAGGAGAAACACGGCCGTGCTTTTGGGAGGACACGGCCGTGCTTTGGTGAAGCACGCCCGTGTTCTATCTCAGCCCTGCCCGTGTTTTGGCCAATGTTTGCCAAACTCGAATTAGCTCTCGGCAGTAAAAGCACGGTCTCAGAACACGGCCGTGTTCTGGTTTAGGTGTGCCCGTGTTTTGGCTCAGTTTCACCGAAATGACTTCCGAATGCCCCGAAACTCGTGCTTAGCCTTCCCTTTTACACCTGGGACCTGAAACATGACAAAATAGCACAACCCGGCATAAAATAGGCCAAAAACACACGACTATGCCCCTCAAACGGATAAGAACTAGGGGCGCAAATATGTGCAATTACATCGTTATCAGCGACTTACATGAGGGTTTGTGCGCAGTGCACACTGGAGCGCGCAGTATGGAGCGCACCATCTTGCTGCACGGATACTATTGGCCGCGAGTGAAAAAGGACACGAAGAAGTACCTGGACCAATGCCACAAGTGTCAATTACACGCGCGCCAACATCATCTACCATCGACTGAGCTTCAAGGCAACCTGAGCGCATGGCCCTTCGCGCAATGGGGGGTGGACCTCTTGGGTCCCTTTCCGACGGCTAAAGGAAAACGCAAGTACATAATCGTGGCAGTGGACTACTTTACCAAGTGGATCGAAGCGGATGCACTAGCCTCGATAGCTGCGCATCAGTTAACCCGCTTCCTAAAAAACAACATCCTGGCACGCTTCGGGGTCCCGAATGCACTCATATTCGACCACGGGAAACAATTCGACTGTGCGGAGGTGATAGACTTTTGTGATCAAGTGGGAGCCATTGCGAGATTCGCGATCAGTAGCTTAGCCCCAAGCCAACGGCCAAGCAGAAGCGGCTAACAAAGCAATCCTGTACAGCTTGCACACCCGTCTGGATGAAGCCAAAGGCAATTTGGCGGA